ATCAAAATATAATTTATTTTACCAATATTTCAGTTGGCTGAACGCCAACCTTTATCAAGGTATTATAACATATTTAATGTGTGTCAACAACAAACTCAACAACAAAAGTTTGTTGTTGACACACATTAAATATGTTATAAAACCTTGATAAAGGTTGGCGCTCAGCCAACTGAAATATTGGTAAAATAAATGATATTTTGATCCAATATATGCCTCTTTTTAATTAAATATCATATTATATTATTTTTTAAATCCTTTGCTAGTTGGAAGTTTGTTTTAAATATATATATGGAACATTACAACTGTTCTTGATATACAATATATACCTCTCGAGATTTTGGCGACTTCCTCTTACCTTATTCAAGAGGATGAGTGTTGACCTTTTGGTAGTTTCAAAACACGCAATTCTTCTCATTATGAATTTCAAATTAGATTTTACCTAATAATAATACAGTAGAACTTGGATAATTCGAACTTCTTTAATTCGAAAACCTCTTTAATTCGAATATTTATCTTGGTCCCTAGAATTTCCTATAAATAGAATTTCCGTTTTTAATTCGAATTTTTGGATAATTCGAATTTTTTTATGGTCCCTTGGGGTTCGAATTATCCAAGTTCGACTGTATTAATAATATAATGTTTGGAAACTGTCATTAGAGACCACTTAAAGTTATGGATGATACATGTTCACTCCTGCCTTTATAATTAAACAAAATCAACATGTAATCCAGGCTCAGATTTCTTTGACTATTTTTATATCTCTAAATATCGGTCAACATGTCCTTCAATAAGAGAACTAGAAATGTGACTTCCAGCTAACTTTACATGCCAAAAATAAAAAAAAAATAAATATATATGTATATATCGTTTTTTAAAATAGAGCAATACATAAATAAATCTTTCATTAAAAAGGCATATATTAGATCAAAAAATCATATATTTTGCCAATATTTCAGTTGGCTGAACGCCAACCTTTATCAAGGTATTATAACATATTTAATATGTAAATTAAATTTTATTGCCCTCTATCGTTAAAATTTTACACAAATAAATTTACTGGCAATCCGTTTCTTTTTTAAATCTCTACAGACCTTACTGCAATGATATGATTTAATGAATGAGAGGGCCCTCATTCATTAAATCATATCATTGCAGTAAGGTCTGTAGAGATTTAAAAAAGAAACGGATTGCCAGTAAATTTATTTGTGTAAAATTTTAATATTTAATATGTGTCAACAATAAACTCAGCGCCACCTAACGTCAATAGAATTAAGTTTAAAATTAAATTTAAAATATTCAAAATATTCACACCCTTATTTTACAAAAATTATTTTGTCCATAATATGAATATATATTAAAAACGAAAGAAAAAAATAAAAGATAAAAAGATCAGGTGTTGAAATCAATATTAAAAATGGCATATCCTGACCAAGAGCACATGTGCTTTACAGAAGGCAGAGCGCCATCTGGTGGAACAGAAATCAACTAAACATTGATTTAGCCTGTTCCCTGATATTTGGCTAACCCAATTTCTTGATAAATCAAGAAAAGCCATCCACGAACGCGTTTCGCGCTTTTGGCGCTCGTCAGCGTGGAGTAGGCTGAACCACTGCGACCAAAAAATATTTTTTGGTCCCAATGGCTTCCTGAAAAACCAATATCAGGGAACAGGCTAAATGAATGTTTAGTTGATTTCTGTTCCACCAGATGGCGCTCTGCCTTCTGTAAAGCACATGTGCTCCTGGTCAGGATATGCCTTTTTTAATATAAATATATATATATATCATTTTTTTTTATCTCCATTGAATATATATATATATATATATATATATATATATATATAAGCAAAAATATTTTTTAAACTTGATTCTATTGACGTTATGTGGCGCTGAGTTTGTTGTTGACATACATTAATATGTTATAATACCTTGAAAAAAATTGGCGTTCAGCCAACTGAAATATTGGTAAAATAAATGATATTTTGATCCAATGTATGCCTTTTTATTTAAAAATATGTATATATATTTAGAGTTCTATTCATTCTAATTCTCCCGTTGAAGGACATGTTGGCCCGAAGGTTAGAGAAATAAAAATAGTTAAAGAAACCTGGCCGTTGATTGATTGTTGATTTTTGTTAAAGTTTATGGATAACTCTGGTCTCGTCTTTGAATAGTATTCCAATAGAGTTTGAGCTATTTCAGATCAAATAATTTTCTACAAAGTTTATCATTCAGGGAGATGATCGCTTTTTCTATGGGTAGATAGTTTAAAGTTTAAATATTTAAACAAGGTAAAATCCTCTGGAGTAACTTGGTAAAGAAAACATTCAAAGACAAAGAGGATGAGTATTTTTTTATGAACAAGCGTTCGAGCTTTCGAGCACAAAGTCGCCCTTCAACAGGAATAAAACTACACAAAGAATCAAGATACATCTATATATATACAGGTGATTAGCATAACCAAAAAAAGTTTAAATGTTAAAGTTTATGGATAATTCTCTGGTCTCGTCTTTAAATAGTATCCCATTGGAGTTTGAGCTATTTCAGATCAAATCATTTTCTACAAAGTTTATCATTCAGTGAGATGATCGCTTATTCTATGGGTAGAAAGTTTAAAGTTTAAAGGTTAAAGTTTATGGATAATTCTTGTCTCGTCTTTGAATAGTATTCCATTGGAGTTTGAGCTATTTCAGATCAAATCATTTTCTACAAAGGTTATCATTCAGTGAGATGATCGCTTATTCTATGGGTAGATAGTTTGAAGGTTAAAGTTTATGGATAATTCTGGTCTCGTCTTTGAATAGTATTCCATTGGAGTTTAAGTTATTTCAGATCAAATAATTTTCTACAAAGTTTATCATTCAGTGAGATGATCGCTTATTCTATGGGTAGATAGTTTAAAAGTTTAGAGTTTAAAGTTTATGGATAATATATTCTGGTCTCGTCTTTGAATAGTATCCCATTGGAGTTTGAGCTATTTCAGATCAAATAATTTTCTACAAAGTTTATCATTCAGGGAGATGATCGCTTATTCTATGAGTAGATAGTTTAAAGTTTAAAGGTTAAAGTTTATGGATAATTCTGGTCTCGTCTTTGAATAGTATCCCATTGGAGTTTGAGCTATTTCAGATCAAATCATTTTCTACAAAGTTTATCATTCAGTGAGATGATCGCTTATTCTATGGGTAGAAAGTTTAAAGGTTAAAAGTTAAAGTTTATGGATAATTCTGGTCTCGTCTTTGAATAGTATTCAATTGGAGTTTGAGCTATTTCAGATCAAATCATTTTCTACAAAGTTTATCATTCAGGGAGATGATCGCTTATTCTATGGGTAGAAAGTTTAAAGGTTAAAGGTTAAAGTTTATGGATAATATTCTGGTCTCGTCTTTAAATAGTATTCCATTGGAGTTTGAGCTATTTCAGATCAAATCATTTTCTACAAAGTTTATCATTCAGTGAGCTGATCGCTTATTCTATGAGTAGATAGTTTAAAGGTTAAAGTTTATGGATAATTCTCTGGTCTCGTCTTTAAATAGTATTCCAATGGAGTTTGAGCTATTTCAGATCAAATCATTTTCTACAAAGCTTATCGTTCAGGGAGGTGATCTCTCATTCAATGGATGGATGGTTTAATTGTATACAAAATTTGGATATACAGAAAAGTGTGAAGTGTATTAGACATTTTAGGACACGTACACACACAAAAAGAGATAAAAAGAAAGCTTGTCGCCATTGTGACTAAATCCTTCTGGTTGTAAGCTGTTTGCCTGCTACACTATTGTTTAGCGATGGCACCAGCTGGGATGTACCGACAGACAGACAGAGGGTGGGACCACTATCCAACCAACCAATGGGGGCAATCCGCGTGAAAAGAAGCTTCCCAAACATCTGCTAGCTATCTCCCCTACCTCCATCTGTAGCCAACCTGTCTCTTCCCCACATTTGGGAAAACTCTGGGGGTCAAATTATCTACAAATTTCACTCGTTCTTTCATTTTTTTTTGCTTATATCTAGTACACATGGTACAGGCCATGATAATCATAGTGGGTCGAGGTAGGTGACTGTTTTTACTGTAAGTGCACCACATGTCTACACATGTGAAAAGCAGTTTGAATTTGCACTTACAAATGTGACAGAGCCCCATTTAGTGACTTGCACTCGCTGGTGGGGTTGAACTTTTGCAAGAATCGGGGGCCTTTGGAGCATTTTTTTTTATCAGAAAAAAAGTGCACAATGCGGGATTCGATTCCGGGTCGTAGCGGTCGAAAACCAATGTTTTAGACCATCCTTCTACCAACCCCCGTTCTTTCATAATAACGATAAGAACAAATACCAGACGTTCTAAGTATGGCTATAGAACAATCAATCCTTAGCTCTTTATTAAAGTTTTACCTTAATACAACAACAAAAAAGCTTTATTAAGACCTTTTAGTCTTATACAGATTCTCCAAACAGAAATGTAGGATACATGCAGTAAAACAGTAATAGTACCTTAATGGTAATATGATATTTATATACAAGAAAAATTAATTAAGACAATCAAGCTAATAAAAAGATTAGTCTTGAGGTTTACCATAATACAGTACTATGTATATCTTTAATATGTATTATGACAATATGGATTTTTCAATAATTAGAATTCTTTTTTGTGGTTCAACTTCCATAACATCTAAAGAGAAAAACCTAAATATATACTTATATTTTTCGTTAATACTGTTCTTTTTTTATTTTAAGTCTAATTTTAACCCACAAAAAAGTGAATTCTCAAAATATTTAGCATTACTCACTATTATTTTGATTTTTATTACAATATAATTTCCATGAGAAGACACTCCTGCCTGCGGAAATTTCTATACAAAGGGCAGTTTTGATGGCCAAAATTGTCAATTTACCAATTAGATGCATTTTGATAAGATGACACTCCTGTTTAATGGATATTTTGTCTCTGAAACTAGATGTCATTTAGGAAGAAGTTCTACTGTATTATCATTTGTATAAGGGGGGTTGGTGGAGTGTGGTCTAAACCGTTGGTTTTCGACCACTACGACCCGGGTTCGATTCCCGCATTGGGCACTTTTTTCTGTTTAAAAAAAAATGCTCCAATGGCCCCCGATTCTTGCAAAAGTCTAACCCCACCAGCGAGTGCAAGTAACTAAACGGGGCTCTGGCACATTTGTAAGTGCAAAGTCGAACTGCTTTTCACATGTGTAGACATGTGGTGCACTTACAGTAAAAGCAGTCGCTAACTACCCACCATGATTATCATGGCCTGTACCACGTGTACTAGGGATTAGCAAAAAAAAAATCATTTGTATAAAAATTTGAAAAAGTATGTATCTTTAATTGTTAATTTAATAAATATACAGTGTATTTTAATTTAAATTATGGAAGTTATTTTCAAGTTTTTATCGAATTGAAAAAAAGCTTTTTATCATGTTTATATAGCACGGAGGACGGCCGCTGGACCTGCAATCCTGGATCTTTCCAGTTGGTCTCGAGGACCACGCCATCACCATTTCTTCAGTGGCGACGTACGCGATCTACGTTTTCTTCGTGGATCACGTAATACGTGGTGTCGCTGGAGACCCACTGGTGATTCTCCACCAAACCAAAGCAACAACCTGAGCATATCCTGACCAGGAGCACATGTGCTTTCAGAAAGCAGAGCGCCATCTGGTGGAACAGAAATCAACTATTCATTGATTTTAACCTGTTCCCTGATATTTGGCCAACCCAATTTCTTGATAAATCAAGAAAAGCAATCCACGAACGCGCTTCGCGCTTTTGGCGCTCGTCAGCGTGGAGTAGGCTGTACCACTGCGACCAAAAAATATTTTTGGTCCCAGTGGCTTCCCAAAAAAACAAGAAATGGGTATTTAAGGCCAAACTTGCGTAAATACGCTTTACACGTGAAAAAAACAATAAAAAAATAAATAATAAAAAGGTCAAGTGTTGATATTAAAAATAAAAAAAGCATATCCTGACCAGGAGCACATTTGCTTTCAGAAGGCAGAGCGCCATCTGGTGGAACAGAAATCAACTATTCATTAATTTAGCCTGTTCCCTGATATTTGGCCAACCCAATTTCTTGATAAATCAAGAAAGCCATCCACGAACGCGTTTCGCGCTTATGGCGCTCGTCAGTGTATATAACACGGATGATGTGTCCTACTGCGGATATTCATGGCGGTTCCTTGAAATTCACATTGTAGAGGTATCACTAGAATATTTACTATTTGTCATTATAATCTTGATCCTAGTTGTTACTCGATGTTTATCTTTATTATAAACATATTATTAAATTAAATTTAATTGCCATTTATCGTTAAAATTTTACACAAATAAATTTACTGGCAATGCGTTTCTTTGAAATATCATCAAATATTATCTCTACAGACCTTACTGAAATGATATGAATTATTGAATGAGAGGGCTTGGCTCATCAGTAGTGAACCCTCTCACAATAGTATACAATAGTAGAGCGGTCTAGAGATTAATTTGGCGAAACCGCTGAGAGGGTTCACTACTGATGAGCCAAGCCCTCTCATTCAATAACTCATATCATTGCAGTAAGGTCTGTAGAGATAATATTTGATGATATTTCAAAGAAACGCATTGCCAGTAAATTTATTTGTGTAAAATAAACATATTATCTTAGTTTTTATTGTTTTTATATAGATGATAATGGCTGAATTTTGCTCGAAATTTTCAAGAGGTCAATCGTTTGCTCAAACAAGTTGGTCTTAACACTTATGATTAGCATTATTATAATCATTATCAAAAATATTATTATATTTTGTCTCATAATATTGTCTCGCTAGATTTTCTCGTGTCACATAAACAAAGTGACGGATTTGATATTATAAGAGGTTATACTCGTATGTTGACTATAACAAGTTAACCCCAATTCAAGTCAGTAAGAGACTTCTCTTTGCTGAATATTATATGTTGTTTTTGGGGGGTAGGTGGGGGGAAGAGATTGAGATTTAAAAATATTTTATTGACCTCATACACAAGTCAATGGTAGTAGTATATAATAATTATAAAAGAGGGGAAAGAGGGATAAAATAAAGGAGTAAAATAAATATAAAATTAAAGTATTTAAAAGCACGAATGTTTCTTTTATACGAAATACAAACTTCTACTGTCCTTACTGCGATGAAAAATATATTGGGAGGGCCTGGCTCATCAGTGGTGAACCCTCCCAGCGGTTTCGCCAATTTAATCCACCAGACCGCTTCTCAGAGCTCTATTTCTTTAATGGAGGATTCTGCTTATATACGCAGCACTGAAGGATGGAATCTCAGAAATGGTTTTCAAGAAAATTATGTACATAAGCTTATAGGACAGTAGAATTACATTCAAATTTTCTTGAAAACCATTTCTGAGATTCCATCCTTCAGTGCTGCGTATATAAGCAGAATCCTCCATTAAAGAAATAGAGCTCTGAGAAGCGGTCTGGTGGATTAAATTGGCGAAACCGCTGGGAGGGTTCACCACTGATGAGCCAGGCCCTCCCAATATATTTTTTCATCGCAGTAAGGACAGTAGAAGTTTGTATTTTGTATAAAAGAAACATTCGTGCTTTTAAATCCTTTCATTTTATATGTATAGGTGACGCGTTATTGCTTTGTGTTAATTAGTAAAATATATACAGTTATGTACAGTTGAGGAGATTCCCCCAACGACAGAGAGTCCTCCTCCAGACAGTAAGGGGGTTTTCACATTCACGGGGGGAGAGAGAAAGAAAAGCGTAAAACCCAGAAAGAGTTGAAGAAAAAAAAAACGGAATTCGGCTCAAATTAACTTCTTCTGGCATGTAATGAATATGTAATATTTGGAAGCAAAACATCTAAAAAATAGTTAAATGAGGTAACATTTACATTTTTTAATAATTTGGTCTATGTAATAGTATGTACTTCTCCATGCCCAAGTTTCGTGTTATTCCACAAAATCCTTTCTGCGAGTAACACTTCTACTTCCAATACTTTATTTATTTAAAATGGTAAAGGAATCATAACTAGGCGTTTATATTAAAATCTGATAGTTATTTCTGTCATGTTTTCTATCTATTAGTTGCCTCAAATCTCAGACCCCATAAAAGAAAATCTTTTATTTTGACAAATTTAAGTCTATCTCTCATCTCAAGTACCAACACCATATATCTATTCTTTTATATTTGCATAATTTTTCTCTTATCTCATGCAATATTTACATATTTTACATACTTCAATGCTTTTTTATTTGAGGGTAATCACTGCCTTAGCTATTATTTAGTTTCGATGATCGTATAGGATCACTATGTTTTATCATCGGTCATTATGTCTTCATAAAGATCATACGGTCGGCTGAAAATGGTCAAAAGTGAGTTTCATTGAAGGATTTTCTTCCAGCTTGCTCTTCGGGCATGATGTGAGGTAGAATTCATTAGGCAAAATTTTTCGTACAGAGAATAAATCAGGATATGGAATCACTACAATTTCCATTCGATAATAGAGAAAGAAAAAGTACTTATTCTAAATAATAAAGTACATTTCTCTCTTCAAAAGCTATTGAATAAAAAGGAAATACTGAATTCCTAAACATTACAAGGTCACAAACAGTGTGGAGATTTTGTCAAAGAACATCCTTAATCGAAAAAAAAAGTTAGTTTTAATGATTTTATTGTCTTTTTATTTATTTATCGATTTGATATTAATCTATAGAACATAAGAAATAACCATAGGATTCAAAGAAGACTGGAATCATCACGCAGAAGGCGGTTCTTTTGTCGCAACAGCCCAAATATTCTGCTTTTAATTTATACAGATAGATCTTGAAAGGTTTGGGGTATCGTTCAGCGTTAAATTTGGATCCTAAAACAAATCAACAGATGATATTTTCCACAATAAATTATTTATTATTAATAATAAATACAACTATTGGGAAATACCATTGGTTGATTTGCTGAACTAATATCTCCTCCCAACTCAATTAGTGAAATTCGAAGTAATGCGAATAAACGTGACGCGCAAATGAAATTTCAATCAATTTCTTGTAATTAAAGATCACTGTTCTCAAAGCATTCAAAGCAAAGAGAAGTTACATGTCTTCAATCCTTCTTCACTTGAGGGTAATCACGGCTTGCGCTATTACTTAGTTTCGATGGTCGAAATGGAGTCACTATGTCTTGTCATAAGTCATTATGCCTTCATAAAGATCATACGGTCGGCTGAAAATCGTCAAAATTGAGTCTCACTGAAGGATTTTCTTCCAGATTTCTCTTCGGGCATGATGTGAGGCAGAACTCATTGGACAAAATTATTTGTACAGCTATAGGTTTGTTTGAATCAAGGCAATATGTGCGGTTCTTATTGAGACTAGTAGTACTAGAGTATTTCAAGATTACGAACATGACATCTTAGAATGCCCAAATTTAATGGAAAAAGCAAAACATTCCCGTAATGCCCTAAATGCATTTCCCAGCCTGCCAGTCCTGAACATCTATTGAATTGTATCAAATCCTCCAAAAAAGACCTCTGGGAAATCCCCAGGACTATAATAGAAAAGCTGAGACAATGGAACCTAATGGAGATTGTTTAAACGATTTGAGGAATAAGCAACAACAGCAGAGGTTAGATCACGTACGGTAATTGATGGATCATTCGAAAGCTTTTAATTCTTGCAGAATATTATCAACTGTGTATGTGACATGGTGAAAATTACCTCATGGTCGAAAATCCGTTATTTGTGAATGCCTTTGGTAAGAAATCCTTGAATGGACCAACCTTGTCCGTGACATGCTGTTCTGACTATATGTGGATTTTAAACTAGGAAAGAATGCTGACACTTTGGCTCTCTTATTAACAAGGATTCATATTTCAGACCATTTATCTTTCTTGGATGCTCTTATTGATTGAATTACAGAGTTTAACTGCTTGCCAATCGTCAGCACAACATACTGAAACTGGCTGATTTGCCTAACTAGTATGCAAAATAGTTCTATTGTGTTTTTTTGCATATTCTTCTATAATCTAACCTAATTCTATTTTAAACATTTATTTTCGTTTTACAAAAGAGAGTGGGAGTATGAA